CCCCCGGTGGAAAACCAGCCTTGCAACTTTGGGACTACCGTCCCGGTAAATTGGAAATGGGAAGTATCGCGAGAAGCGAGAACGAGCGAGAAACACAAACTGCTTTACGGTAATTCAACGTAAACACACACGCCCCCCTCAATAACGGTTAATCACGCCGGCTATACATGTCAGTGTTCTATGATACAGTGTATAATGTATTACCCACCTCGGTAGACATCGCGCCACACGAAAAAACCCGGCAACAAATGCACATGAGCAGCGGTAGAAAGGGGGAGGAGGGTGCCGCAAGTGAGTTTTTTTTACGACAGTGTTGTGTAATATACGTCCCAGACCTGTAGGGGGAGCTCGTTGAGAAAACATGCGACCACAAAAGTGAAAACCAGCGAAGAAATGGCCAGAGTTGCCAAGTGCCCCTTTAAACGACCCAAATTTCTGGAGGTGCAGGAAGCTGCGTTGTGCAGTTTCTGTCGTGTAGTGGTTATCACCATTGCCTAATACGCGAAATGGTCCCCTGTTTGAATCCGGGCAGAAACATCTGGAATTTGATACATTTTTAGAACATTAACGGGAAGGCCATTTGTACCTAGTAAATGTTGACATGATATCAAACAAGAAAATCCAAAACCTGCATTGACATCAGGAAACGATCAATGAGTTCCGATCTCAACCAGCTATCAGACCCAAATGTTTCTGCCGGTTTCGAACCTGGGAACTTTCGCATGTGAGGCAAACGTGATAACCACTACACTACAGAAACAGCAGTATGGCAGTTCTTTGCCTAAAAATGTCACGCTTTCAGTAGACATCTACTTTTCTCGTTTTTAGCAGCTGTATGAATTCTTAAATGACCCAAATTTCTGGAGGTGCAGGAAGATGTATTGTGCAGTTTCTGTAGTGTAGTGGTTATCACGTTCGCCTAACACGCGAAAGGTCCCTGGTTCGAAACCGGGCAGAAACAGTTGGAAATTGATGCAATTTTAGAACTTTAACGTGAAAGCAATTGGGAGATGTTGACACGATATCAAACTAGGAAAGCCAAAATCTGCATTGACATCAGGAAAGGATCAATGAGTTCCAATCTCAACCAGCTATCAGACCCAATTGTTTCTGCCCGGTTACGAACCAGGGACCTTTCGCGTGTAAAGCGAATGTGATAACCACTACACTACAGAAACAGCGGTATGGCTGTACTTTGCCTAAAAATGTCACGCTTTCAGTAGACATCTACTTTTCTCGTTTTTAGCAGCTGTATGAATTCTTAAATGACCCAAATTTCTGGAGGTGCAGGAAGATGTATTGTGCAGTTTCTGTAGTGTAGTGGTTATCACGTTCGCCTAACACGCGAAAGGTCCCTGGTTCGAAACCGGGCAGAAACAGTTGGAAATTGATGCAATTTTAGAACTTTAACGTGAAAGCAATTGGGAGATGTTGACACGATATCAAACTAGGAAAGCCAAAATCTGCATTGACATCAGGAAAGGATCAATGAGTTCCAATCTCAACCAGCTATCAGACCCAATTGTTTCTGCCCGGTTACGAACCAGGGACCTTTCGCGTGTAAAGCGAATGTGATAACCACTACACTACAGAAACAGCGGTATGGCTGTACTTTGCCTAAAAATGTCACGCTTTCAGTAGACATCTACTTTTCTCGTTTTTAGCAGTTGTATGAATTCTTAAACGACCCAAATTTCTGGAGGTGCAGGAAGATGTATTGCGCAGTTTCTGTAGTGTAGTGGTTATCACGTTCGCCTAACACGCGAAAGGGCTCTGGTTCAAAACCGGACAGAAACATTGGGAATTTGATGCACTTTTAGAACATTAACGTGATTGTAGATGTTGATATGATATCAAACAAGGAAAGCGAAAACTTGCATTGACATCAGGAAAGTAACAATGAGTTTCGATCTCAAATAGCTATCAGACCCAAATGCTTCTGCCCGGTTTCAAACCAGGGACGTTTCGCGCGTAAAGCGAATGAGATAACCACTACACTACAGAAACAGCTGGATGGCTGTACTTTGCCTAAAAATGTCGTACTTTCAGCAGACATCTACTTTTCTCATTTTTAGCAGCTGTATGAATTCTTAAACGACCCAAATTTCTGGAGGTGCAGGAAGCTGCATTGTGCAGTTTCTGTAGTGTTGGGGTTATCACGTTCGCCTAACACGCGAAAGGGCTCCGGTTCAAAACCGGGCAGAAACATTGGGAATTTAATGCAATTTTATAACATTAACGTGATTGTAGATGTTGATATGATATCAAACAAGGAAAGCGAAAACTTGCATTGACGTCAGGAAAGTAACAATGAGTTCCGATCTCAACCAGCTATCAGACCCAACTGTTTTCTACCCCGGTTTCGAACCCGGGAACTTTTCGCGTGTGAGGCGAACGTGATAACCACTACACTACAGAAACAGCGGTATGGCTGTACTTTGCCTAAAAATGTCACGCTTTCAGTAGACATCTACTTTTCTCGTTTTTAGCAGCTGTATGAATTCTTAAATGACCCAAATTTCTGGAGCTGCAGGAAGCTGCATTGTGCAGTTTCTGTAGTGTAGTGGTTATCACGTTTGCCAAACACGCGAAAGGTCCCCGGTTCGAAACCGGGCAGAAACTTCAGGATTTGATACATTTTTAGAACATTAAAGGGAAAGCCATTTGTATCTAGCAGATTTTGACATGATATCAAACAAGGAAAGCGAAAACTTGCATTGACATCAGGAAAGGATCAATAAATTCCGATCTCAAACAGCTATCAGACCCAAATGCTTCTGCCCGGTTTCGAACCAGGGACCTTTCGCGTGTAAAGCCAACGTGATAACCACTACACTACAGAAACAGCTGCGACTGTGTTCTACGCCTAAAAATCTCGTGCTTTCAGTAGACATCTAATTTTGGCGTTTTTAGCAGCTATATGAATTCTTAAAGGGGCACTTGGCAACTTTTTCAACTTAATAAACCCGTCTGGAAATCATTTGGATGGTTAAATGGTCTGTTCCGGTGTTAACGGTGACTGTCCCCGCTCCCCCCCGGCGCCCCCCGGTGGAAAACCAGCCTTGCAACTTTGGGACTACCGTCCCCGGTAAATTGGAAATGGGAAGTATCGCGAGAAGCGAGAACGAGCGAGAAACACAAACTGCTTTACGGTAATTCAACGTAAACACACACGCCCCCCTCAATAACGGTTAATCACGCCGGCTATACATGTCAGTGTTCTATGATACAGTGTATAATGTATTACCCACCTCGGTAGACATCGCGCCACACGAAAAAACCCGGCAACAAATGCACATGAGCAGCGGTAGAAAGGGGGAGGAGGGTGCCGCAAGTGAGTTTTTTTTACGACAGTGTTGTGTAATATACGTCCCAGACCTGTAGGGGGAGCTCGTTGAGAAAACATGCGACCACAAAAGTGAAAACCAGCGAAGAAATGGCCAGAGTTGCCAAGTGCCCCTTTAAACGACCCAAATTTCTGGAGGTGCAGGAAGCTGCGTTGTGCAGTTTCTGTCGTGTAGTGGTTATCACCATTGCCTAATACGCGAATGGTCCCCTGTTTGAATCCGGGCAGAAACATCTGGAATTTGATACATTTTTAGAACATTAACGGGAAGGCCATTTGTACCTAGTAAATGTTGACATGATATCAAACAAGAAAATCCAAAACCTGCATTGACATCAGGAAACGATCAATGAGTTCCGATCTCAACCAGCTATCAGACCCAAATGTTTCTGCCGGTTTCGAACCTGGGAACTTTCGCATGTGAGGCAAACGTGATAACCACTACACTACAGAAACAGCAGTATGGCAGTTCTTTGCCTAAAAATGTCACGCTTTCAGTAGACATCTACTTTTCTCGTTTTTAGCAGCTGTATGAATTCTTAAATGACCCAAATTTCTGGAGGTGCAGGAAGATGTATTGTGCAGTTTCTGTAGTGTAGTGGTTATCACGTTCGCCTAACACGCGAAAGGTCCCTGGTTCGAAACCGGGCAGAAACAGTTGGAAATTGATGCAATTTTAGAACTTTAACGTGAAAGCAATTGGGAGATGTTGACACGATATCAAACTAGGAAAGCCAAAATCTGCATTGACATCAGGAAAGGATCAATGAGTTCCAATCTCAACCAGCTATCAGACCCAATTGTTTCTGCCCGGTTACGAACCAGGGACCTTTCGCGTGTAAAGCGAATGTGATAACCACTACACTACAGAAACAGCGGTATGGCTGTACTTTGCCTAAAAATGTCACGCTTTCAGTAGACATCTACTTTTCTCGTTTTTAGCAGTTGTATGAATTCTTAAACGACCCAAATTTCTGGAGGTGCAGGAAGATGTATTGCGCAGTTTCTGTAGTGTGTGGTTATCACGTTCGCCTAACACGCGAAAGGGCTCTGGTTCAAAACCGGACAGAAACATTGGGAATTTGATGCACTTTTAGAACATTAACGTGATTGTAGATGTTGATATGATATCAAACAAGGAAAGCGAAAACTTGCATTGACATCAGGAAAGTAACTATGAGGTTTCGATCTCAAATAGCTATCAGACCCAAAATGCTTCTGGCCCGTTTCGAACCAGGGACGTTTTCGCGCGTAAAGCGAATGAGATAACCACTACACTACAGAAACTACAGAAAAAGCTGGATGGCTGTACTTGCCTAATAATTTCGAGCTTCAGTTTCTCCATCTAATTTTCCTCGTTTTTAGCAGCTATATGAAGTCTTAAATGACCCAAATTTCTGAGGCGCAGGAAGCTGCTTGTGCAGTTTCTGTAGTGGTATGTGGTTATCACGTTCGGCTAACACGCGAATGTCCCCCTGATTGAATCCGGGCAGAAACATATGGATTTTGATACATTTTTAGAATTTTGTAGAAGGGAAAGCCATTTGTATCTAGTAGATGTTTGATATGATATCAAACAAGGAAAGCGAAAGACTTGCCTTGACATCAGGGAAAGTAACTATGAGTTCCGATCTCACCAGCTATCAGACCCAAATGTTTCTGCCCGGTTTCGAACAGGGACCTTTCGCGTGTGAGGCGAACTGAAGAACCACTACACTACAGAAACAGCTGTAATATTGTAGCTTTGCCTGAAAATGTCGTACTTTCAGCAGACATCTACTCTTCTCATTTTAGCGAGCTGTAAGAATTCTTAAACGACCCAAATTTCCGGGAGGTGCAGGAGAGGCTGCATTGTGCAGTTTCTGTAGTGTTGGCGGTTATCAACGTTCGCCTAACACCCGAAAGGCTTCCGTTCAAAACCGGGCAGAAACATTGGGAATTTAATGCAATTTTATAACAGTAACGTGATTGGTAGATGGTTGATAAGGATATCAAACAAGAAAGCGAAAACTTGCATTGACGTCAGGGAAAGTAACAATGAGTTGCCGAGTCTCAGAGCCAGCTATCAGACCCAAATGTTTCTTGCCCCGTTTTCGAACCCGGGAAACCTTTCTTGTTGTGAGGCGAACGTGAAAACCACTACACTACAGAAACAGCGGTATGGCTGTAGTTTGCCTAATAATGTCACCTTTCAGTAGACATCTACTTTTCTCGTTTTTTAGCAGCTGTTATGAATTCTTAAATGACCAAATTTCTGGAGGTGCAGGAAGCTCATTGTGCAGTTTCTGTAGTGTAGTGGTTATCACGTTTGCCTAACACGCGATAAGGTTCAACCGGTTCGAAACCGGGCAGAAACATCAGGATTTGATACATTTTAGAACATTAAAGGGAAAGCCATTTGTATCTAGCAGATTTTGACACGATATCAAACAAGGAAAGCGAAAACTATCATGTGACAGTCAGGAAATGATCAATAAATTCCGATCTCAAACAGCTATCAGACCCAAATGCTTCTGCCCGGTTTCGAACCAGGGAGCCTTTCGCGTGTAAAGAGAACGTGATAACCACTACACACAGAAACGCTGCGACTGTGTTCTACGCCTAAAAATCTCGTGCTTTCAGTAGACATCTAATTTTGGCGTTTTTAGCAGCTATATGAATTCTTAAAGGGGCACTTGGCAACTTTTTCAACTTAATAAACCCGTCTGGAAATCATTTGGATGGTTAAATGGTCTGTTCCGGTGTTAACGGTGACTGTCCCCCTCCCCCCGGCGCCCCCCGGTGGAAAACCAGCCTTGCAACTTTGGGACTACCGTCCCGGTAAATTGGAAATGGGAAGTATCGCGAGAAGCGAGAACGAGCGAGAAACACAAACTGCTTTACGGTAATTCAACGTAAACACACACGCCCCCCTCAATAACGGTTAATCACGCCGGCTATACATGTCAGTGTTCTATGATACAGTGTATAATGTATTACCCACCTCGGTAGACATCGCGCCACACGAAAAAACCCGGCAACAAATGCACATGAGCAGCGGTAGAAAGGGGGAGGAGGGTGCCGCAAGTGAGTTTTTTTTACGACAGTGTTGTGTAATATACGTCCCAGACCTGTAGGGGGAGCTCGTTGAGAAAACATGCGACCACAAAAGTGAAAACCAGCGAAGAAATGGCCAGAGTTGCCAAGTGCCCCTTTAAACGACCCAAATTTCTGGAGGTGCAGGAAGCTGCGTTGTGCAGTTTCTGTCGTGTAGTGGTTATCACCATTGCCTAATACGCGAATGGTCCCCTGTTTGAATCCGGGCAGAAACATCTGGAATTTGATACATTTTTAGAACATTAACGGGAAGGCCATTTGTACCTAGTAAATGTTGACATGATATCAAACAAGAAAATCCAAAACCTGCATTGACATCAGGAAACGATCAATGAGTTCCGATCTCAACCAGCTATCAGACCCAAATGTTTTCTGCCGGTTTCGAACCAGGGAACTTTCGCATGTGAGGCAAACGTGATAACCACTACACTACAGAAACAGCAGTATGGCTGTTCTTTGCCTAAAAATGTCACGCTTTCAGTAGACATCTACTTTTCTCGTTTTTAGCAGCTTGTATGAATTCTTAAATGACCCAAATTTCTGGAGTGCAGGAAGATGTTTGTGCAGTTTCTGTAGTGTAGTGGTTATCACGTTCGCCTAACACGCGAAAGGGCTCTGGTTCAAACCGGACAGAAACATTGGGAATTTGATGCACTTTTAGAACATTAACGTGATTGTAGATGTTGATATGATATCAAACAAGGAAAGCGAAAACTTGCATTGACACAGGAAAGTAACAATGAAGTTTCGATCTCAAATAGCTATCAGACCCAAATGCTTCTGCCCGGTTTCGAACCAGGGACGTTCGACGCGTAAAGCGAATGAGATAACCACTACACTACAGAAACAGCTGGATGGCTACTTTGCCTAATAATTTCGAGCTTTGGTAATTTTCTCGTTTTTAAGCAGCTATATGAATTCTTAAATGACCCAAATTTCTGGAGGCGCAGGAAGCTGCTTTGCAGTTTCTGTAGTGTAGTGGTTATCACGTTCGGCTAACACGCGAATGGTCCCCTGTTTGAATCCGGGCAGAAACATATGGATTTTGATACATTTTTAGAATTTTTTAGAAGGGAAAGCCATTTGTATCTAGTAGATGTTGATATGATATCAAACAAGGAAAGCGAAAACTTGCCTTGACATCAGGAAAGTAACAATGAGTTCCGATCTCACCAGCTATCAGACCCAAATGTTTCTGCCCGGTTTCGAACCGGGGACCTTTCGCGTGTGAGGCGAACGTGATAACCACTACACTACAGAAACAGTTGTATATTTGTACTTTGCCTGAAAATGTCGTACTTTCAGCAGACATCTACTTTTCTCATTTTTAGCAGCTGTATGAATTCTTAAACGACCCAAATTTCTGGAGGTGCAGGAAGCTGCATTGTGCAGTTTCTGTAGTGTTGGGTTATCACGTTCGCCTAACACGCGAAAGGGCTCCGGTTCAAAACCGGGCAGAAACATTGGGAATTTAATGCAATTTTATAACATTAACGTGATTGTAGATGTTGATATGATATCAAACAAGGAAAGCGAAAACTTGCATTGACGTCAGGAAAGTAACAATGAGTTCCGATCTCAACCAGCTATCAGACCCAAATGTTTCTACCCGGTTTCGAACCGGGAACTTTTCGCGTGTGAGGCGAACGTGATAACCACTACACTACAGAAACAGCGGTATGGCTGTACTTTGCCTAAAAATGTCACGCTTTCAGTAGACATCTACTTTTCTCGTTTTTAGCAGCTGTATGAATTCTTAAATGACCCAAATTTGGAGATGCAGGAAGCTGCATTGTGCAGTTTCTGTAGTGTAGTGGTTATCACGTTTGCCAAACACGCGAAAGGTCCCCGGTTCGAAACCGGGCAGAAACTTCAGGATTTGATACATTTTTAGAACATTAAAGGGAAAGCCATTTGTATCTAGCAGATTTTGACATGATATCAAACAAGGAAAGCGAAAACTTGCATTGACATCAGGAAAGGATCAATAAATTCCGATCTCAAACAGCTATCAGACCCAAATGCTTCTGCCCGGTTTCGAACCAGGGACCTTTCGCGTGTAAAGCGAACGTGATAACCACTACACTACAGAAACAGCTGCGACTGTGTTCTACGCCTAAAAATCTCGTGCTTTCAGTAGACATCTAATTTTGGCGTTTTTAGCAGCTATATGAATTCTTAAAGGGGCACTTGGCAACTTTTTCAACTTAATAAACCCGTCTGGAAATCATTTGGATGGTTAAATGGTCTGTTCCGGTGTTAACGGTGACTGTCCCCGCTCCCCCCGGCGCCCCCCGGTGGAAAACCAGCCTTGCAACTTTGGGACTACCGTCCCGGTAAATTGGAAATGGGAAGTATCGCGAGAAGCGAGAACGAGCGAGAAACACAAACTGCTTTACGGTAATTCAACGTAAACACACACGCCCCCCTCAATAACGGTTAATCACGCCGGCTATACATGTCAGTGTTCTATGATACAGTGTATAATGTATTACCCACCTCGGTAGACATCGCGCCACACGAAAAAACCCGGCAACAAATGCACATGAGCAGCGGTAGAAAGGGGGAGGAGGGTGCCGCAAGTGAGTTTTTTTTACGACAGTGTTGTGTAATATACGTCCCAGACCTGTAGGGGGAGCTCGTTGAGAAAACATGCGACCACAAAAGTGAAAACCAGCGAAGAAATGGCCAGAGTTGCCAAGTGCCCCTTTAAACGACCCAAATTTCTGGAGGTGCAGGAAGCTGCGTTGTGCAGTTTCTGTCGTGTAGTGGTTATCACCATTGCCTAATACGCGAATGGTCCCCTGTTTGAATCCGGGCAGAAACATCTGGAATTTGATACATTTTTAGAACATTAACGGGAAGGCCATTTGTACCTAGTAAATGTTGACATGATATCAAACAAGAAAATCCAAAACCTGCATTGACATCAGGAAACGATCAATGAGTTCCGATCTCAACCAGCTATCAGACCCAAATGTTTCTGCCGGTTTCGAACCTGGGAACTTTCGCATGTGAGGCAAACGTGATAACCACTACACTACAGAAACAGCAGTATGGCAGTTCTTTGCCTAAAAATGTCACGCTTTCAGTAGACATCTACTTTTCTCGTTTTTAGCAGCTGTATGAATTCTTAAATGACCCAAATTTCTGGAGGTGCAGGAAGATGTATTGTGCAGTTTCTGTAGTGTAGTGGTTATCACGTTCGCCTAACACGCGAAAGGTCCCTGGTTCGAAACCGGGCAGAAACAGTTGGAAATTGATGCAATTTTAGAACTTTAACGTGAAAGCAATTGGGAGATGTTGACACGATATCAAACTAGGAAAGGCCAAAATCTGCATTGACATCAGGAAAGGATCATGGAGTTCCAATCTCAACCAGCTATCAGACCCAATTGTTTTGCCCGGTTACGAACCAGGGACCTTTCGCGTGTAAAGCGAATGTGATAACCACTACACTACAGAAACAGCGGTATGGCTGGTAGTTGCCTAAAAAATGTCACGCTTTCAGTAGACATCTACTTTTCTCGTTTTAGCAGCTGTATGAATTCTTAAATGACCCAAATTTCTGGAGGTGCAGGAAGCTGCATTGTGCCAGTTTCTGTAGTGTAGTGGTTATCACGTTTGCCTAACACGCGAAAGTTTCACCGTTCGAAACGCGGGCAGAAACTCTCAGGATTTGATACATTTTTAGAACATTAAAGGGAAAGCCAATTTGTATCTAGCAGATTATGGACACGATATCAAACATAGGAAATGATGCCACTTTTAGAACATTAACGTGATTGTAGATGTTGATATGATATCAAAACAAGGAAAGCGAAAACTTGCATTGACATCAGGAAAGTAACAATGAGGTTTTCGATCTCAAATAGCTTATCAGACCCAAATCGCTTCTGCCCGGTTTCGAACCAGGGACGTTTCGGCGCGTAAAGCGATTGAGATAACCACTACACTACAGAAACAGCTGGATGGCTGTACTTTGCCTAATAATTTCGAGCTTTCAGTAGCCATCTAATTTTCTCGTTTTAGCAGCTATATGATTCTTAAATGACCCAAATTTCTGGAGGCGCAGGAAGCTGCGTTGTGCTGTTTCTGTAGTGTAGTGGTTATCACGGGTTCGGGCTAACACGCGAATGTCACCCTGTTTGAATCCGTGGCAGAAACATATGGATTTTGATACATTTTTAGAATTTTTTAGGGAAGGAAAGCCATTTGTATCTAGTAGATGTTGAATGATATCAAACAAGGAAAGCTGAAAACTTGCCTTGGACATCAGGAAAGTAACAATGAGTTTCCGATCTCACCGGCTATCAGACCCGAATGTTTCTGCCCGGTTTCGAACCGGGACCTTTCGCGTGTGAGGGCGAACGTGATAACCACTACACTACAGGAAACAGTTGTATATTTGTACTTTGCCTGAAAATGGTCGTACTTTCAGCAGACATCTACTTTTCCCTCATTTTTAGCAGCTGTATGAATTCTTAAACGACCCAAATTTCTGGAGGTGGCAGGAAGCTGCATTGTGCAGTTTCTGTAGTGTTGCGGTTATCACGTTCGCCTAACACGCGAAAGGGCTCCGGTTCTAAACCGGGCAGAAACATTTGGGAATTTAATGCAATTTTATAACAATTAACGTGATTGTAGATGTTGATATGATATCAAACAAGGAAAGCGAAAACTTGCATTGACGTCAGGAAAGTAACAATGAGTTCCGATCTCAACCAGCTATCAGACCCAAATGTTTCTGCCCGGTGTTCGAACCCGGGAACTTTTCGCGTGTGAGGCGAACGTGATAACCACTACACTACAGAAACAGCGGTATGGCTGTACTTTGCCTAAAAATGTCACGCTTTCAGTAGACATCTACTTTTCTCGTTTTTAGCAGCTGTATGAATTCTTAAATGACCCAAATTTCTGGAGATGCAGGAAGCTGCATTGTGCAGTTTCTGTATTGTAGTGGTTATCACGTTTGCCAAACACGCGGAAAGGTCCCCGGTTCGAAACTGGGCAGGAAACTTCAGGATTTGATACATTTTTAGAACATTAAAGGAAAGCCATTTGTATCTAGCAGATTTTTGACATGATATCAAACAAGGGAAAGCGAAAACTTGCATTGACATCAGGAAAGGATCAATAAATTCCAATCTCAACAGCTATCAGACCCAAATGCTTTCTGCCCGGTTTCGAACCAGGGACCTTTCGCGTGTAAAGCGAACGTGATAACCACTACACTACAGAAACAGCTGCGACTGTGTTCTACGCCTAAAAATCTCGTGCTTTCAGTAGACATCTAATTTTGGCGTTTTTAGCAGCTATATGAATTCTTAAAGGGGCACTTGGCAACGTTTTCAACTTAATAAACCCGTCTGGAAATCATTTGGATGGTTAATGGTCTGGTTCCGGTGTTAACGGTGACTGTCCCCCCGCTCCCCCCTGCGCCCCCCGGTGGAAAACCAGCCTTGCAACTTTGGGGACTTACCGTCCCGGGTTAATTGGGAAATGGGAAGGTATCGCGAGAAGCGAGAACGAGCGAGAAACACAAACTGCTTTTACGGTAATTCAACGTAAAACACACACGCCCCCCTCAATAACGGTTTAATCACGCCAGGCTATACATGTCAGTGTTCTATGATACAGTGTAATAATGTACTACCCACCTCGGTAGACATCGCGCCACACGAAAAAAACCCGGCAACAAATGCACATGAGCAGCGGTAGAAAGGGGGAGGAGGGGTGCCGCAAGTGAGTTTTTTTTACGACAGTGTTGTGTAATATACGTCCCAGACCTGTAGGGTGGAGCTCGTGTGAGAAAACATGCGACCACAAAAGTGAAAACCAGCGAAGAAATGGCCAGAGTTGCCAAGTGCCCCTTTAAACGACCCAAATTTCTGGCGGTGTGCAGGAAGCTGCGTTGTGCATGTTTCTGTCGTGTAGTGGTTATCACCATTGCCTAATACGCGAATGGTCCCCTGTTTTGAATCCGGGCAGAAACATCTGGAATGTGATACATTTTTAGAACATTAACGGAAGGGCCATTTGTACCTAGTAAATGTTGACATGATATCAAAACAAGAAAATCCAAAAACCTGCATTTGACATCAGGAAACGATCAAGGAGTTTCCGATCTCAACCAGCTATCAGACCCAAATGTGTCTGCCGGTTTCGAACCTGGAACTTTCGCATGTGAGGGCAAACGTGATAACCACTAAAAATGTCACGCTTTCAGTAGACATCTACTTTTCTCGTTTTTAGCAGCTGTATGAATTCTTAAATGACCCAAATTTCTGGAGGTGCAGGAAGATGTATTGTGCAGTTTCTGTAGGGTAGTGGTTAGCAACGTTCGCCCTAACACAGGCGAAAGGTCCCTGGTTCGAAACCGGGCAGAAACAGTTGGGAAATTGATGGCAATTTTAGAACTTTAACGTGAAAGCAATTGGAGATGTTGACACGATATCAAACTAGGAAAGCCAAAATCTGCATTGACATCAGGAAAGGATCAAGGAGTTCCAATCTCATCCAGCTATCAGACCCAATTGTTTCTGCCCGGTTACAAACCAGGGACCTTTCGCGTGTAAAGCGAATGTGATAACCACTACACTACAGAAACAGCGGTAATGGCTGTACTTTGCCTAAAAATGTCACGCTTTCAGTAGACATCTACTTTTCTCGTTTTTTAGCAGTTGTATGAATTCTTAAACGACCCAAATTTCTGGAGGTGCAGGAAGATGTATTGCGCAGTTTCTGTTGTGTAGTGGTTATCACGTTCGCCTAACACGCGAAAGGGCTCTGGTTCAAAACCGGACAGAAACATTGGGAATTTGATGCACTTTTAGAACATTAACGTGATTGTAGATGTTGATATGATATCAACAAGGAAAGCGTAAAACTTGCATTGACATCGAGGAAAGTAACAATGAGTTTCGATTCTCAAATAGCTATCAGACCCCAAATGCTTCTGGCCCGGTTTTCGAACCAGGGACGATTCGCGCGTAAAGCGAATGAGATAACCACTACACTACAGAAAAAGCTGGATGGCTGTACTTTGCCTATAATTTCGAGCGTTCAGTAGCATCTAATTTTCTCGTTTTTAGCAGCTATATGAATTCTTTAAATGACCCAAATTTCTGGAGGCGGCAGGAAGCTGCGTTGTGCAGGTTTCTGTAGTGTAGTGGTTATCACGTTCGGCTAACACGCGAATGGGTCCCCTGTTTGAATCCGGGGCAGAAACATATGGAATTTTGATACATTTTTTAGAATTTTTTAGAAGGAAAGCCATTTGTATCTAGTAGATGTTGATATGATATCAAACAAGGAAAGCGGAAAACTTGCCTTGACATCAGGAAAGTAACAATGAGTTCCGATCTCACCAGCTATCAGACCCCAAATGTTTCTGCCCGTTTTCGAACAGGAGGACCTTTCGCGTGTGAGGCGAACGGTGATAACCACTACACTACAGAACACTGTAATTTGTACTTTGCCTGAAAATGTCGTACGTTCGAGCAGACATTCTACTCTTCTCATTTTTAGCAGCTGTATGAATTCTTAAACGACCCAAATTGCCGGAGGTGCAGGAAGCTGCATTGTGCAGTTTCTGTAGGTGTGCGTTATCACGTTCGCCTAACACGCGAAAGGCTCCGGGTTCAAAACCGGTCAGAAACATTGGAATTTAATGCAATTTTATAACAGGAAACGTGATTGTGAGATGTTGATAGGATATCATACAAGGAAAGCGAAAACGTTGCATTGACGTCAGGGTAAGTAACAATGAGTTCCGATCTCAACCAGCTATCAGACCCAAATGTTTCTGCCCGGTTTCGAACCCGGGGACCTTTCTTGTTTGAGGCGAACGTGAAAACCACTACAACTACAGAAACAGCGGGTATGGCTGTAGTTTGCCTAAAAATGTCACGCTTTCAGTAGACATCTACTGTTCGTCGGTTTTTAGCAGCTGTATGAATTCTTAAATGACCCCAAATTTCTGGAGGTGGCAGGAAGCGTGCATTGTGCAGTTTCTGTAGTGTAGTGGTTATCACGTTTGCCTAACACGCGGAAAGGTTCACCGTTCGAAACCGTGGGCAGAAAACTTCAGGATTTGGAATACATTTTTAGAACATTAAAGGGAAAGCCATTTGTATCTAGCAGATTTTGACACGATATCAAACAAGGGAAAGCGGAAAACTTGCATTGACATCAGGAAAGGATTCAATAAATTCCGATCATCAAACAGCTATCAGACCCAAATGCATCTGGCCCGGTTTCGAACCAGGGGGACCTTTCGCGTGTAAAGCGAACGTGATAACCACTACACTACAGAAACAGCGGTATGGCTGTACTTTGCCTAAAAATGTCACGCTTTCAGTAGACATCTACTTTTCTCGTTTTTAGCAGTTGTATGAATTCTTAAACGACCCAAATTTCTGGAGGTGCAGGAAGATGTATTGCGCAGTTTCTGTAGTGTAGTGGTTATCACGTTCGCCTAACACGCGAAAGGGCTCCGGTTCAAAACCGGAAGAAACATTGGAATTTGATGCACTTTTAGAACATTAACGTGATTGTAGATGTTGATATGATATCAAACAAGGAAAGCGAAAACTTGCATTGACATCAGGAAAGTAACAATGAGTTTCGATCTCAAATAGCTATCAGACCCAAATGCTTCTGCCCGGTTTCGAACCAGGGACGTTTCGCGCGTAAAGCGAATGAGATAACCACTACACTACAGAAACAGCTGGATGGCTGTACTTTGCCTAATAATTTCGAGCTTTCAGTAGTAATTTTCTCGTTTTTAGCAGCTATATGAATTCTTAAATGACCCAAATTTCTGGAGGCGCAGGAAGCTGCGTTGTGCAGTTTCTGTAGTGTAGTGGTTATCACGTTCGGCTAACACGCGAATGGTCCCCTGTTTGAATCCGGGCAGAAACATATGGATTTTGATACATTTTTAGAATTTTTTAGAAGGGAAAGCCATTTGTATCTAGTAGATGTTGATATGATATCAAACAAGGAAAGCGAAAACTTGCCTTGACATCAGGAAAGTAACAATGAGTTCCGATCTCACCAGCTATCAGACCCAAATGTTTCTGCCCGGTTTCGAACCGGGGACCTTTCGCGTGTGAGGCGAACGTGATAACCACTACACTACAGAAACAGTTGTATATTTGTACTTTGCCTGAAAATGTCGTACTTTCAGCAGACATCTACTTTTCTCATTTTTAGCAGCTGTATGAATTCTTAAACGACCCAAATTTCTGGAGGTGCAGGAAGCTGCATTGTGCAGTTTCTGTAGTGTTGCGGTTATCACGTTCGCCTAACACGCGAAAGGGCTCCGGTTCAAAACCGGGCAGAAACATTGGGAATTTAATGCAATTTTATAACATTAACGTGATTGTAGATGTTGATATGATATCAAACAAGGAAAGCGAAAACTTGCATTGACGTCAGGAAAGTAACAATGAGTTCCGATCTCAACCAGCTATCAGACCCAAATGTTTCTGCCCGGTTTCGAACCCGGGAACTTTTCGCGTGTGAGGCGAACGTGATAACCACTACACTACAGAAACAGCGGTATGGCTGTACTTTGCCTAAAAATGTCACGCTTTCAGTAGACATCTACTTTTCTCGTTTTTAGCAGCTGTATGAATTCTTAAATGACCCAAATTTCTGGAGATGCAGGAAGCTGCATTGTGCAGTTTCTGTAGTGTAGTGGTTATCACGTTTGCCAAACACGCGAAAGGTCCCCGGTTCGAAACCGGGCAGAAACTTCAGGATTTGATACATTTTTAGAACATTAAAGGGAAAGCCATTTGTATCTAGCAGATTTTGACATGATATCAAACAAGGAAAGCGAAAACTTGCATTGACATCAGGAAAGGATCAATAAATTCCGATCTCAAACAGCTATCAGACCCAAATGCTTCTGCCCGGTTTCGAACCAGGGACCTTTCGCGTGTAAAGCGAACGTGATAACCACTACACTACAGAAACAGCTGCGACTGTGTTCTACGCCTAAAAATCTCGTGCTTTCAGTAGACATCTAATTTTGGCGTTTTTAGCAGCTATATGAATTCTTAAAGGGGCACTTGGCAACTTTTTCAACTTAATAAACCCGTCTGGAAATCATTTGGATGGTTAAATGGTCTGTTCCGGTGTTAACGGTGACTGTCCCCGCTCCCCCCGGCGCCCCCCGGTGGAAAACCAGCCTTGCAACTTTGGGACTACCGTCCCGGTAAATTGGAAATGGGAAGTATCGCGAGAAGCGAGAACGAGCGAGAAACACAAACTGCTTTACGGTAATTCAACGTAAACACACACGCCCCCTCAATAACGGTTAATCACGCCGGCTATACATGTCAGTGTTCTATGATACAGTGTATAATGTACTACCCACCTCGGTAGACATCGCGCCACACGAAAAAACCCGGCAACAAATGAAGAGTTTAGATGCAAAAGCCTCTAAATCCGTTTGACCACTTTTCTTATAAATGACCATTTTTTATCAGGCTTCTATGTTCAAGTTCAGTCATTTTATTTTAATGAAAATGATAAGGTTATTAGTTAATGAATAAAACATTTTTTTTTCAAAAATGTCACTTTAGTCTTTTTATGTGTTTTTACCAAATACATTTTTTTTTTGCGTCAAAAACAGCTAAATCCACCGGTACTTTTTTGGCAAAAACCTCTAAATCCACATATTTGGACAAGACATAGTCAAAAGTAGTAAAATCACTTATATATTATATATTTATATTATTATTATATATATGTAAATGATGGAATAACAATAAATTATATAAAAAATAAAACATGAAAAAAAAGTTAAAAGTGGTCAAGTAAGTTAATTTCTTATGTTTGGGCATCAGATTCAACTATAAAAAAGCTCATTACATTAATTAAAAAAGCTTATTACGTTCAAAAACATTTGGCATATAATCAAGTAGGCCTATATATAAGAGAAAAGACGTAAATCTGATTTTTTTTTTTTAAAGAGACCTCAACGAACTGACAATACTCCCATGCTTGAAAGGAGAGGTGCAAACACACACCAAATGTGAGGTGCTGGCAACTGTGAGAGAAGATCAGTACAAGGAGAGCGGTGCCGCACACTCCGAGTTGTGAACAACGTCGGTAGTTTATTACGGTGATAATGTTTCGGGCCGTCTGGCCTTCCTCAGATCGCGCATCTATGCATCCGCATAGATCGCGCATCTATGCATCCGCATAGATGGCGCATCTATGCATCCGCATAGATCACGCATCTATGCGATCTGAGGAAGGATATATCTATAATCTATAATAAAGATAAAGCATATAAATAAATAATAAAGAATAATATAATAAAGAGTCTATCTATATGATCTATAATCTATCTTAGAAGCGATCTAAGCCGGCTCCTCAGCGCGCCGCCATGTTAACTGGGTGAAGTCACATGATTCCGTGTTGCGTTGTGATTGGTTCTCGGAACGTAGCGGCTTTTGCTGACAAAGGGAAGTGGCGTTTAGAGGTTTATGCCTACAAATCGAGATTTCAGACGAGGAAAAGAGTGGTATTTTGCGGGTTTTGACGCGAAATGATTTGATTACCATATACTACGTGCGGAGAGCAGTCACTCAATATATTTATCTCATTTTTGACGGAGGTGGCGTTTAGAGGCTTTTGCATCTGAACTCTTCAAATGCACATGAGCAGCGGTAGAAAGGGGGAGGAGGGTGCCGCAAGTGAGTTTTTTTTACGACAGTGTTGTGTAAAATACGTCCCAGACCTGTAGGGGGAGCTCGTTGAGAAAACATGCGACCACAAAAGTGAAAACCAGCGAAGAAATGGCCAGATTGCCAAGTGCCCCTTTAAAAAACGACCCAAATTTCTGGAGTGCAGGGGAAGCTGCGTTGTGCAGTTTCTGTCGTGTAGTGGTTATCACCATTGCCTAATACGCGAATGGTCCCCTGTTTAATCCGGCAGAAACATCTGGAATTTGATACATTTTTAGAACATTAACGGAAGGCCATTTGTACCTAGTAAATGTTGACATGACATCAAACAAGAAAATCAAACCTGCATTGGACATCAGGAAACGATCAATGAGTTCCGGATCTCAACCCAGCTATCAGACCCAAATGTTTCTGCCGGTTTCGAACCTGGGAACTTTCGAGCATGTGAGGCAAACGTGATAACCACTAACACTACAGAAACAGCAGTATGGCAGTTCTTTGGCCTAAAAATGTCACGCTTTCAGTAGACATCTACTTTCTCGTTTTTTAGCTGCCTGGTATTAAAATTCTTAAGTGGACCCAAATTTCTGGAGTGCAGGAAGATGTATTGTGCAGTTTCTGTAGTGTAGTGGTTAGCACGTTCGCCTAACACGCGAAAGGTCACTGGTTCGAAACCGGGCAGAAACAGTAGGAAATTGATGCAATTTTTAGAACTTTAACGTTGAAAGGGCAATTGAGAGATGTTGACACGATATCAAACTAGAAAGCCAAAAATCTGCATTGACATCAGGGAAAGGGTTCAAGGAGTTCCAATCTCAACCAGCTATCAGACCCAAGTTGTTCTGCCCGGTTACGAACCAGGGACCTTTCGCGTGTAAAGCGAATGGTGATAACCACTACACTACAGAAAACAGCGGTATGGCTGTAGTTGCCTAAAAATGTCACGCTTTCAGTAGACATCTACTTTTCTCGTTTTTAGCTGCTGTATGAATTCTTAAATGACCCAATTTCTGGAGGGTGCAGGAAGCTGCATTGTGCAGTTTCTGTAGTGTAGTGGTTATCACGTTTGCCTAACACGCGAAAGTTCACCGTTCGAAAGGCAGAAACTTCAGGATTTGATACATTTTTAGAACATTAAAGGGAAAGCCATTTGTATCTAGCAGATTTTGACACGATATCAAACAAGGAAATGATGCACTTTTAGAACATTAACGTGATTGTAGATGTTGATATGATATCAAACAAGGAAAGCGAAAACTTGCATTGACATCAGGAAAGTAACAATGAGTTTCGATCTCAAATAGCTATCAGACCCAAATGCTTCTGCCCGGTTTCGAACCAGGGACGTTTCGCGCGTAAAGCGAATGAGATAACCACTACACTACAGAAACAGCTGGATGGCTGTACTTTGCCTAATAATTTCGAGCTTTCAGTAGCCATCTAATTTTCTCGTTTTTAGCAGCTATATGAATTCTTAAATGACCCAAATTTCTGGAGGCGCAGGAAGCTGCGTTGTGCAGTTTCTGTAGTGTAGTGGTTATCACGTTCGGCTAACACGCGAATGGTCCCCTGTTTGAATCCGGGCAGAAACATATGGATTTTGATACATTTTTAGAATTTTTTAGAAGGGAAAGCCATTTGTATCTAGTAGATGTTGATATGATATCAAACAAGGAAAGCGAAAACTTGCCTTGACATCAGGAAAGTAACAATGAGTTCCGATCTCACCAGCTATCAGACCCAAATGTTTCTGCCCGGTTTCGAACCGGGGACCTTTCGCGTGTGAGGCGAACGTGATAACCACTACACTACAGAAACAGTTGTATATTTGTACTTTGCCTGAAAATGTCGTACTTTCAGCAGACATCTACTTTTCTCATTTTTAGCAGCTGTATGAATTCTTAAACGACCCAAATTTCTGGAGGTGCAGGAAGCTGCATTGTGCAGTTTCTGTAGTGTTGCGGTTATCACGTTCGCCTAACACGCGAAAGGGCTCCGGTTCAAAACCGGGCAGAAACATTGGGAATTTAATGCAATTTTATAACATTAACGTGATTGTAGATGTTGATATGATATCAAACAAGGAAAGCGAAAACTTGCATTGACGTCAGGAAAGTAACAATGAGTTCCGATCTCAACCAGCTATCAGACCCAAATGTTTCTGCCCGGTTTCGAACCCGGGAACTTTTCGCGTGTGAGGCGAACGTGATAACCACTACACTACAGAAACAGCGGTATGGCTGTACTTTGCCTAAAAATGTCACGCTTTCAGTAGACATCTACTTTTCTCGTTTTTAGCAGCTGTATGAATTCTTAAATGACCCAAATTTCTGGAGATGCAGGAAGCTGCATTGTGCAGTTTCTGTAGTGTAGTGGTTATCACGTTTGCCAAACACGCGAAAGGTCCCCGGTTCGAAACCGGGCAGAAACTTCAGGATTTGATACATTTTTAGAACATTAAAGGGAAAGCCATTTGTATCTAGCAGATTTTGACATGATATCAAACAAGGAAAGCGAAAACTTGCATTGACATCAGGAAAGGATCAATAAATTCCGATCTCAAACAGCTATCAGACCCAAATGCTTCTGCCCCCGGTTTCGAACCAGGGACCTTTCGCGTGTAAAGCGAACGTAATAACCACTACACTACAGAAACAGCTGCGACTGTGTTCTACCGCCTAAAAATCTCGTGCTTTCAGGTAGACATCTAATTTTGGCGTTTTTAGCAGCTATATGAATTCTTAAAGGGGCACTTGGCTAAACTTTTTCAACTTAATAAAACCCGTCTGGAATCATTTGGATGGTTAAATGGTCTGTTCCGGTGTTACGGTGACTGTCCCCCGCTCCCCGGCCCCCGCCCCCCGGTGGAAAACCAGCCTTGCAACTGTGGGGACTACCGTCCCGGTAAATGTGGAAATGGGAAGTATCGCGAGAAGCGAGAACGAGCGAGAAACACAAACTGCTTTACGGTAATTCAACGTAAACACACACGCCCCCCTCAATTAACGGTTAATCACGCCGGCTATACATGTCAGTGTTCTATGATACAGTGTATAATGTACTACCCACCTCGGTAGACATCGCGCCACACGAAAAAACCCGGCAACAAATGCACATGAGCAGCGGTAGAAAGGGGGAGGAGGGTGCCGCAAGTGAGTTTTTTTTACGACAGTGTTGTGTAATATACGTCCCAGACCTGTAGGGGGAGCTCGTTGAGAAAACATGCGACCACAAAAGTGAAAACCAGCGAAGAAATGGCCAGAGTTGCCAAGTGCCCCTTTAAACGACCCAAATTTCTGGAGGTGCAGGAAGCTGCGTTGTGCAGTTTCTGTCGTGTAGTGGTTATCACCATTGCCTAATACGCGAATGGTCCCCTGTTTGAATCCGGGCAGAAACATCTGGAATTTGATACATTTTTAGAACATTAACGGGAAGGCCATTTGTACCTAGTAAATGTTGACATGATATCAAACAAGAAAATCCAAAACCTGCATTGACATCAGGAAACGATCAATGAGTTCCGATCTCAACCAGCTATCAGACCCAAATGTTTCTGCCGGTTTCGAACCTGGGAACTTTCGCATGTGAGGCAAACGTGATAACACACTACTAAAAATGCAGCTTTCAGTCAGTAGACATCTACTTTTCTCGTTTTTAGCAGCTGTATGAATTCTTAAATGACCCAAATTTCTGGAGGTGCAGGAAGATGTATTGTGCAGTTTCTGTAGTGTAGTGGTTATCACGTTCGCCTAACACGCGAAAGGTCCCTGGTTCGAAACCGGGCAGAAACAGTTGGAAATTGATGCAATTTTAGAACTTTAACGTGAAAGCAATTGGGAGATGTTGACACGATATCAAACTAGGAAAGCCAAAATCTGCATTGACATCAGGAAAGGATCAATGAGTTCCAATCTCAACCAGCTATCAGACCCAATTGTTTCTGCCCGGTTACGAACCAGGGACCTTTCGCGTGTAAAGCGAATGTGATAACCACTACACTACAGAAACAGCGGTATGGCTGTACTTTGCCTAAAAATGTCACGCTTTCAGTAGACATCTACTTTTCTCGTTTTTAGCAGTTGTATGAATTCTTAAACGACCCAAATTTCTGGAGGTGCAGGAAGATGTATTGCGCAGTTTCTGTAGTGTAGTGGTTATCACGTTCGCCTAACACGCGAAAGGGCTCTGGTTCAAAACCGGACAGAAACATTGGGAATTTGATGCACTTTTAGAACATTAACGTGATTGTAGATGTTGATATGATATCAAACAAGGAAAGCGAAAACTTGCATTGACATCAGGAAAGTAACAATGAGTTTCGATCTCAAATAGCTATCAGACCCAAATGCTTCTGCCCGGTTTCGAACCAGGGACGTTTCGCGCGTAAAGCGAATGAGATAACCACTACACTACAGAAACAGCTGGATGGCTGTACTTTGCCTAATAATTTCGAGCTTTCAGTAGCCATCTAATTTTCTCGTTTTTAGCAGCTATATGAATTCTTAAATGACCCAAATTTCTGGAGGCGCAGGAAGCTGCGTTGTGCAGTTTCTGTAGTGTAGTGGTTATCACGTTCGGCTAACACGCGAATGGTCCCCTGTTTGAATCCGGGCAGAAACATATGGATTTTGATACATTTTTAGAATTTTTTAGAAGGGAAAGCCATTTGTATCTAGTAGATGTTGATATGATATCAAACAAGGAAAGCGAAAACTTGCCTTGACATCAGGAAAGTAACAATGAGTTCCGATCTCACCAGCTATCAGACCCAAATGTTTCTGCCCGGTTTCGAACCGGGGACCTTTCGCGTGTGAGGCGAACGTGATAACCACTACACTACAGAAACAGTTGTATATTTGTACTTTGCCTGAAAATGTCGTACTTTCAGCAGACATCTACTTTTCTCATTTTTAGCAGCTGTATGAATTCTTAAACCCCAAATTTCTGGAGGTGCAGGAAGCTGCATTGTGCAGTTTCTGTAGTGTTGCGGTTATCACGTTCGCCTAACACGCGAAAGGGCTCCGGTTCAAAACCGGGCAGAAACATTGGGAATTTAATGCAATTTTATAACATTAACGTGATTGTAGATGTTGATATGATATCAAACAAGGAAAGCGAAAACTTGCATTGACGTCAGGAAAGTAACAATGAGTTCCGATCTCAACCAGCTATCAGACCCAAATGTTTCTGCCCGGTTTCGAACCCGGGAACTTTTCGCGTGTGAGGCGAACGTGATAACCACTACACTACAGAAACAGCGGTATGGCTGTACTTTGCCTAAAAATGTCACGCTTTCAGTAGACATCTACTTTTCTCGTTTTTAGCAGCTGTATGAATTCTTAAATGACCCAAATTTCTGGAGATGCAGGAAGCTGCATTGTGCAGTTTCTGTAGTGTAGTGGTTATCACGTTTGCCAAACACGCGAAAGGTCCCCGGTTCGAAACCGGGCAGAAACTTCAGGATTTGATACATTTTTAGAACATTAAAGGGAAAGCCATTTGTATCTAGCAGATTTTGACATGATATCAAACAAGGAAAGCGAAAACTTGCATTGACATCAGGAAAGGATCAATAAATTCCGATCTCAAACAGCTATCAGACCCAAATGCTTCTGCCCGGTTTCGAACCAGGGACCTTTCGCGTGTAAAGCGAACGTGATAACCACTACACTACAGAAACAGCTGCGACTGTGTTCTACGCTAAAAATCTCGTGCTTTCAGTAGACATCTAATTTTGGCGTTTTTAGCAGCTATATGAATCTTAAAGGGGCACTTGGCAACTTTTTCAACTTATAAACCCGTCTGGAAATCATTTGGATGGTTAAATGGTCTGTTCCGGTGTTAACGGTGACTGTCCCCGCCCCGGCGCCCCGGTGGAAAACCAGCCTTGCAACTTTGGGACTACCGTCCCGG